TCTATATCAGTTTTAATCCACCATGCAGTCAATAAAAAGATGTGTATAAGAGACCCGTTATAGAGAGAATATTGATACCGCTATAATAATTTTAGAATAAAAACTTGTGAAATTAATTTATGCTATAAAAACTCGAGTTTTCTTGAAGTTGTAATAATTATTTTACTGGAATTTAACTGTAGAAAGGCATATGTCATCTAGGCATGCATGAATTTTTTATCCATGATATTTCTCCAGTTCAGTTTTTGTTTATAAATGCGGTGCATGATGGTGCATGCTTCGCACAGTGGGCTGTGAGTAGTAATGACTTAAGCCTAGAATTACGAATATTTTTAGCCTAATACCGACTGTTATAAGTCAACATAATAATAGAATGATTGTTTGAAATAGATAAATATACTTAATAAGTGTTTATTTTATTAAACTCAAACTAAACTGATGTTGAAAATTTAACGTAGCACGACCGTCTAGCAAAAAATGGGGATTTCCCTAGGGCTGCCTAGCGCAAGAATACGTTGTTAACATGGCGGTAGCCAGCAGTTTACACGCATTTCCAGTTGTTTGTTGTTTAATAATCGGCCGAAAAAGATGTGAACATTCATAAATAATGTCAATGTTTCAAAATAATTAAAAACTTAACATTATGGGAACGGTTTGGAGCTTAAAAATAGGTGCAGCTTATACACAGGTGACAAAAAAAATCGTGATATTTCGCGTCCAAATTTGGGGGGGGGGGGCGGCTTATACACAGGTGCGGCTTATACACCGGAAAATATGGTATATCATTTTTAATCTACCATGCAATCAATAAAACAGTATGTTAATATTTACATATTTTTTAATATTGTTTTTAGGGATATGTACAACCCAAGGCCTATTATCCCAGTTATCAGCAATATGACAATGCCAAATATTACAAACGTGACAGTCAAAATCAAGGAAGTTATGGAAAGGTATGTGCAAAGGAATATTACTTTTGCTCTAGTAATGATGATAATAATATATATCTAACAATATATCTACCGTATATTCCGGTGTATAAGCCACGATTTTCCCCCCGAAGTTTGGGGTGTGGCCTATACACCGGTCATTAACCTACACCCAAAAGTTCAGATCGCGAACCGCGGCGAAAATCAGGCGCCGTCTGTCTAGGTTAGGCCTATGCTAGCTCCATTAATTAGCCTAGCCTAGGACCGGTTTGTAGCCCTAGTATTTGTAATTATACTCACTACAGTACTGTACTAGTATTCCTACTACATTTTCTACGACATTCAAGCAATAGTTTGGGTTGCCTAAATAATTATTTTCATAATTACGTTCACTTATAAACAATTTTGAAACACGCCGTTTCTGTTCGAAACCGCTTCGCTCAAAACAATAACAAACTACTTTTCGGGAGTTCGGTCCTCGAGGTCACGTGAGCAGCTTCATTTTCGATGTCGCAACAAAACACACGTGGGCTGATGAAACTTGCAGCTCGACGTCTGGTTCCCGGTGGCTTGTACCGTTATAGAGAGAATATTGATACCGCTATAATAATTTTAGAATAAAAACTTGTGAAATTAATTTATGCTATAAAAACTCGAGTTTTCTTGAAGTTGTAATAATTATTTTACTGGAATTTAACTGTAGAAAGGCATATGTCATCTAGGCATGCATGAATTTTTTATCCATGATATTTCTCCAGTTCAGTTTTTGTTTATAAATGCGGTGCATGATGGTGCATGCTTCGCACAGTGGGCTGTGAGTAGTAATGACTTAAGCCTAGAATTACGAATATTTTTAGCCTAATACCGACTGTTATAAGTCAACATAATAATAGAATGATTGTTTGAAATAGATAAATATACTTAATAAGTGTTTATTTTATTAAGATCAAACTAAACTGATGTTGAAAATTTAACGTAGCATGACCGTCTAGCAAAAAATGGGGATTTCCCTAGGGCTGCCTAGAGCAAGAATACATTGTTAACATGGCGGTAGCCAGCAGTTTACACGCATTTCCAGTTGTTTGTTGTTTAATAATCGGCCGAAAAAGATGAAATTTCTTTATGTGAACATTCATAAATAATGTCAATGTTTCAAAATAATTAAAAACTTAACATTATGGGAACGGTTTGGAGCTTAAAAATAGGTGCGGCTTATACACAGGTGACACAAAAAATCGTGATATTTCGCGTCCAAATTTGGGGGGCGGCTTTTACACAGGTGTGGCTTATACACCGGAATATACGGTATATCATTTTTAATCTACCATGCAATCAATAAAACAATATGTTAATATTTACATATTTTTTAATATTGTTTTTAGGGATATGTACAACCCAAGGCTTATTATCCCAGTCATCAGCAATATGACGAATATTACGATGCCAAATATTACAAACGTGACAGTAAAAATCAAGGAAGTTATGGAAAGGTATGTGCAAAGGAACATTACTTTTGCTCTAGTAATGATGATAATAATATATATCTAACAATATATCTATATCATTTTTTATCAACCATGAATCAATTGAACAATATGTTAATATTTACAATTTTTTTATATTGTTTTAAGGGATATGTACAACCCAAGGCCTATTATCCCAGTTATCAGCAACATGACAATGCCAAATATTACAAACGTGAAAATCAAGGAAGTTATGGAAAGGTACCGTATGTGCAAAGGAATATTACTTTTGCTCTAGTAATGATGATAATATATATTTAACCAGAACCCTGCGGGTGTGTAGGTTCTTTTGTACGCAAAAACTAAACACAAATTTGGGAATTGCGATAATTAATAGTCACCAAATTTATTCATTGCATTTTGCCAAATTTGAACTAATTGGACTTGCCAATTTTTAGTTATCGTGGTATGGTAACAAGCAGCGACTTTTTTCCCTTTTGAAATAGAGTAAAGCAACACCTAATGAGCAAGTACACAAGAAACTAGATCTCGAAATGATGCATTGCATTGTTTAGCATCACATCTCCAAAAAAAAAAAAAATCGGGGATGGAGAGGTGGGTGGTGGGGTTAATTTTACTTTTCTGCATATCAATATTCTTTCTGCACGCATCTTAATAAAACTTGTTTTAACTAAAATATGACAAAAAGTCTTTAAATGAATTACTTAATCACAAATTTAACATAGATAAAAAAATTTTATCAACAACAGAAAGTTGAGCACCATACGCCAAAGCAAAATACACTACAAAATAAACTTGGTTTAGGCCTAATGTATATTTGTCAATGAATGTAAATTGTGAAGTTAAGAGACCTGTTCCTTAATGGCAAAACAATAGTGTAAGTAGGCCTTGACTATGTACAGTCATGGTACAGTAGGCCTATTTAATTTTTCTTTTTTTTGGGGGGGGGAAATTTTTTTTTGAGAAGTTATGAAAAGGTATGGGCAAAGGAATATTACTTTTGCTCTAGTAATGATGATAATATATATCTAACAATATATCTATATCAATTTTAATCCACCATGCAGTCAATAAAACAATATGTTAATATTTACATATTTTTAATATTGTTTTTAGGGATATGTACAACCCAAGGACTATTATCCCAGTTATCAGCAATATGACAATGCCAAATATTACAAACGTGACAGTGAAAATAAAGGAAGTTATGGAAAGGTATGTTCAAAGGAACATTACTTTTGCTCTAGTAATGATAATATATATCTAACAATATATCTCTATCATTTTTAATTTACTATGCAATCATTAAAACAATATGTTACTATTAAAATATTTCTAATATTTTTTTAGGGACCACTTAATCTGTTATCCTCCTTTCCATGTTAATATTCTACGCCACTAGATATAGTGAGCTACACTCATAAAAAACAGAGGTAACCTCAGTTTAACGCACAGATTGGTGATCGGTCACTCCTGTTTGAATTTTTCTGAACTTCTAAATAATACATAGTTTGAAGTCTTTGATGTCAATTAGGTTGAATCTGACTCTGATGTTTTGAAAATGTATATTTATTGTACTGTATTGTTTTTCTTATTGCTCTATTATTATTCTGTAATTTTTGTATTCTCATTTAGGGAACACAGTGAAAATAAGTTGCTTTTTGTACTTTTCTGTCCTTGAATGTTTTACTTATAATTACTTCAGAATGAATAAATAAAAAAATAAATAAATAAATTTAAAAAAAAAATAAAAAAATAAAGTTAGGGCCAATTATTATTATTATTAACTCCGATGAGATACTCTTAAAAGACTTGGCTGATTGATTAACAGATCTTTTTAGCTCTGATGAGGAGCTCTAGGAGTGCCCTGCTGTTTAATTGATCTATTTTGCTGATTGATTCATAGATCTTATACATATAGGCAGCAGTTAGGGCCAACATACCCTACTGCCTCTATTATACTGTACTCATCAGAACTTGCAAGATTACGAGACCTTGTTCATAAAATAATATACCCTTCCCATCGGCATATATTTTTTGCACTGCAGTGGAAATGATGGAAACGAAAATGAATGACCCTTACTGGAAGAGTGATGAGCGATAACTAATGTTTATGACATAAAAATGAGAGCATAATTATTGAGTATCAAGTAGGATAAAACCTAGTTTCCATGAAAATCGCTACATTCTATCAATGACTCCTTTGGCAACACAGATTGGTGAGGTGCATTCCCGTATGCGTCGGGGACAGTTTTGCATCCACTGGAATGCTGTCGCTTTTACTTTATACAGTCAGTAAAGTGCGCCCTCTCTAATGAAATTACTTTTTGTACTTCGCATCTCGCACACTGCAGTCGATTGAGTAGGCCAGAGACATGTTTGTTTGTCAAAATCTCGGTCAGAATAACAGATTTGAAATAATTTCTATGAAACATTATATTTCACAAGTGTCAATACTAGCAATGGAAAATATCATGTCGGTCGTTTTCATGTGTGATAACAGAACCTAAATCGAGGTAAGGCTAGGCCTAGCCTAGCATTGTTGGATAGGGTAATGTTTCCGGTGCCTACTATATTTCTTCACAGACCTATCGCAAAATCAACCATAAAAAATTCATATGCATTACTAGCATTGTTGTTATTATTAGTTCCATAATTTTTTACCAACATTTATTGATTGCTAACACCTCCTTTCACATTTGTTACTTTACAGGATGTACAGTCTCATTATGGCTAGCTTTCCAATTTCCCATCCAGAAGTACGGGAAAAGCCAGTACGATGCAATCCTGTCACTGGATTCATTGCTGTGAAGGAACGCCGTACCATCTAGAGAGGAAGATGGCACTTAATAGCATAGTCTAGAATTTTATCTACCAGCACCAGATAATTTTGAATTCAGATGATTTGAATACTGTAGTAAATTTTGAATACAACACTGGTAATAAAAACAAAATGGCAGTCTTGTAACAGATCTGTGATCAGTGAAATACATATGATTGATAGAAAAAGAGATTTAAGTAATTACTCAAAAGCATATCTACCCCACAGTCTTCTACCTGTTAACTAAGTACTGGTATATATTTTACTCAGAATTATTATTAAAATTACTTGTTGTAGAAGACAATTTTCTGGCTTATTTTGTATGAAGTTTAGACAACTATTACTCATTTATTCAAGGCTGCAGACATGGACCATTTTGAAAATACAAGACAGTGAAAAATAAACATTCCATCAAATTTAATATGTAGTAAAAATACTAGCATAAAACATTTAGTAAGACGGATTGCAAAGTTTATTTGCATACAGACTGTTCAAAGCGCCATTGTGGGTGGAGGATACCTGTGCTATACAAGTTTTCATTTATTGTTTAACCATCCCGTTCACAGACCACATCAACAATCATAATCATTTACCATACTGGAAAGTGAGCGCAATAAAAGAAAGAATAACACAAGATTTGAAAGAAAAAATAAAAGAGTTTATATGGATACGCAAAACTAAGGAAGAGACCTGTGATATTATTTATTATTATTTTGATTATTAAATATGTTTAACCATCCTGTTCACAGACCACATCAACAATCATAATCATTTACCAGACTGGAATGTGAGTGCAATAAAAGAAAGCGTAATACTAGAGTTGAAAGAAAAATAAAAGAGTTTATATGGATAAACTAAGGAAAACATGACCTGTGACATCCAAAAATGTATGCAGCTGAGTGCATGCATACAGGTTGGAGTAAATATAGAAATTGGATTGGATAAGTACTTAAAACAAAATGAACAATACTAGATAGACCATTGACAATAAAATAAAATAAATAAATAGATTGGAATGTACACTTAAAGAAATACACGCCTTCGTGTTGGGATTCAATATTTTGACATTAATTATGTCATCATCAGGAATGATGATGACATAATTAATGGTGCAATATTGAATCCCGACATGATGGCATGCATTTCGATACTTGGAGTATGTATTATACTATCTTATCTGAGATATCTTCTTTACTTACAGGGTTTTGTGAGTTACTGCATATTTGATTGCCTTTTTTCGGCATCACTTTAATTTAGTAATTCTTCAAAACTATCTTCGCTCAAAAGTACAAATGGCTCAGTACCAAATTGCCCTGCCATTTTATCGGCGAAGTGAGGACTACTGAATGAATGACTGCTTGTTGACGTGCAGGTTCTAACTATACTAGGTTAATTTTTCTCTCTCACATTATGCTGCGTTTCAGATTTTTGCCATCTTGGAGATGAAAAAGTACTATTCAACTATGGTTGACTAGTGCTCAAATAACCATGGAATATTCATTTTAATTCAATCCCACGTGACCTGTTTTCAAACCAATTAACTAAAAGGAAAAGGCACAATATATATATGGCCATCTTAAATGAAGCAACCAACCTTCATGAAACGCCCACTACAGTCATTGTGTTGCTTCTTATAGAAGTGCTGCTCAACCGGAGAAAATTTTAACCAATGGCACTGCTCTGTTTGTGGAGGAAGATTGATCTGTAGAGATAAGGATATGCTTTTTATATTATTAGGCTCTAAAATATTTCCTCAGTCCACACAATGGTTTGATTGACTAACTTTTAGAGAATGGTCAGTTTCTCCTTGGGCAAGTGGTATTAAGTCTGTTAGATATACCACCTGTGGTAAAAAGCCAAACTATTTTTGATAAAGCCTTACAAGTTATTGCTGGATTGGTTTTCCATTGATCAAGTTTGTAGAAATCAAATCATAAAGCAACCAGCATCATAAATGATGCTGATCACTTATTGGTTCCCACCATCAATTTATTAATTTACCTGATCAATGACATCTTTCTTAGATGTTCTCCATAACACCTTGGCAACCGCTTCTTGGATGGGTCGTGTCTTCCCACAATAGAACGGTCGGCAAAGAAGCTGATCCCACCAGTATTTCACCCAGTAGGGCTCAATGCCAATGAACAAGAAAAGACCATAAAGATCTGCAAAGGAATAATCAGGAGGAGAAAGCATTGCTACATGGATAAGTTGACAAAACCACAGTTTGGTTAGGTTAATAAGATAGACGGTCTCATTATTAGCACATGAGAAATTAATAATACAACAATATTTTTGGCATGTTGGTGAAATGGTTGGCATATTATTCTGTTTGATTTGTTTTTCTTGGAATGAAGGGGTTTATTAGAGGGGATTATTTTTAGTTATCATCAGTTATTTCTTGGTTTAGTTTTCTTCTTAGTTGAGTTCTCTACTATAATTTAATTAATTATAAGTTTAAGGCTCGGTAAACACTATCAATTATTTGTGTGATTTGCCCATATGTATGGCACAGCTGTTTTTTTAAATATAAAACTTAAGAACTACTTTATGTCCAGTGTTTTTTTTTTCTATTATATCAGACTAGTACGGCTCATCTATTTTTAGATTATCATTATAGTGACACAAGTTACTTTTGAGGTTAAGAGGATAATAATAGACATGTGGTTGTTCAAAGCTGGGGATAGGTTAACATATGTTTTTTCTGACTCTGTACTTACCATCCATATTACGCTGTATAGGAGTTCCTGTGACACACCACCTGTTAACAGCTTTAAGGCGCAATGCCATTGTAGCAGACTACAGAAAAAAAAAACATTTCAGGAAAAGTTTTTAAAGAAAAAATCTAATTATCTATTAACTGTTTAGAGAGGGTGTATCTGAAATCGAAAGCCAGCTGAAATTAAGGGCCTAATTATAAAATGACCAAAATGAAGATAATTCAATTGGAAAAAGCAACCAGAATACTGGGAAAATTTGGACTTAAAAAAAATCCAGTTAACCTGGCAACTAATTCATTTATCATTCTTAGAGGGCTCACTTTGTTTCCCATGATCAGTTATAACAGTGGTCTGATTGGCGCAGAGAGAGAGAGAGAGATCACCTTACCTTAGCTGTTGGTGACTCTATCATCTGGGCTTCATCAAGGCACACTCGCCACCATTCTACGCAAGGCAGAGGGCTAGGAGTAGCCATGTACCGCTTAGCATGACGTAACTTGCGTCCAGTTTTGTCTTAAACAGAAAAAAAAGAATAAAATTAATATTCTAAATATATCAATTTCAAGTTACATAGGACATAAATATTTTCATTTTTTTTTATAGCTCAACATAGTTCATGACTTCAGTTCAAACCAGGCTTCAATTTTAAGCCGGAACTCACTGCATTGCATTCTATGGAGAACGTAACACTACGGGCGCAACGGATCGTTTTTAATGGCGATCAGCTCAGACCACCACAGACAACAGATAGCGTTGCATGGTCTAGTGCTGAGAGGGAGCGGAGTTCAATTTCTCGTACCACTGTAGTGTGATGCAGGGGGTGCCCAGCTATAAATTAGGGTTTGATCGACACCTTGAATAACTTTCTCATGAAATTTAGGCAAGATGAAGAACAATATATCTTTAACTTGTCGGTACTGGGGCTGCTACTATGCCTGCCACGGGTCCCCAGACGGCCAGTCGAATTTTCAACTACAGGACAAAGAGAAAATGTAAGACAAATAAGGGGTAATAAGTATCACGTTACTACCGTTAGTATGCGGCAAGTCCACGTAGTTCAATTCCGTGCTAAGCGTATCATACGTTGTAATTACAATGTCATATGAAGCTAAATCTTTTGGTTGAATATAGCCATTTTTCTTCACTCCCTTATATATCTGAAAAAAAAGATAAGATGCAAACATTACTATTAATCATCTCTGATACTTTATAATGTCTTTTATATCTGTAATAAAATCTGGACAAATCTATAAGCATTAAGTTAAAACATTGAATTATTATTCAATTCTTTGGTTGAATATAGTCATTTTTCTTCACTCCCTTATATATCTGAAAAAAACATAAGATGCAAACATTACTGTTAATCATCTCTGATACTTTATAATGTCTTAATATCTGTAATAAAATCTGGAAAAATCTATAACCATTAAGTTAAAACACTGAATTAGTATAAGTTATGACCTTTCATTGAGACACAATTTAAAAGAATTAAGTTTTCTCTTATATACAGACTTTTTCACTACATTTAGTCCAGCACAAATAGTTTACTGTTTATTAAAAAATACTGTTTATTTTTAAATCAGTTTTTTTCCCTTAATATTAGAGATTCTACTGATTAATCAGATAAAATAGACAAAATTCCATTAACTTTGGATAAAAAAAAGAAAATGTTAAATTAATACTTTGAATAATATTTTATCATTTCATTTATAAAAATGGGTTTCCGCCTGATTAAAGGAATTTGATGACTATTATACTTTTATTATTGCGTCTTAAAAACTCACCAACATCTTAATTGCTGACAGGTTGATATGCCGATTGATTTCATCGACCCACTGATGACATATAGAGGTTGGTGTGATAATCAAGGTTGCAGACGATTTAACAGCATCCTACAGTATAAACAAAAGTTCAGACTGCTCAAAGAAAATGCATCTAGATATCTAATCACACTGGATCTTGAATCTAGGATGTTCAACCTATCAAGCATTAGAGAAGTAAAATGCAGGCTCACTCTGAATTAGGAAGCTTTTGATTACAAGATGATGGTAGGATGCAGAACATTATAACGTCACTAAAAGTCTTTTGCACATTCAAGAACGTTAAGTTCTCCTCGTTGTGTGGATTCTGGGAGACAATTTGGCCAAAACATGTGAATATATACTAAAGAAATCTTACCAAGGAATATAGAACTGCAAGAGGTCCGACTCTAGGGGTTCCGTTGGAACGCAATCCTATCTCAAAAAAAGTACTAAAACAAACTAGAGGGCATCCTTCAAAAAAACGTAAAAAGCATTCATAAATAGGGTGCCCCTATTTCGTAGTAGTACTTTTTTTAATGTTTAATTGAATGCACACAAAATCAGGGCAGGCAGACCTCTTTGAATTCTATACTCCTTGAGCTTACCGTCAAGGACCAACAATGAGGACAGTAGTAGTCTTCTTTGTCCAGGATGTTTGTATCAAAGTTAACACATTTGGTGTGCTGCCATATATTACATCTAATGCACTGTACAACCTCATCAGAAACATCCTGTCTAACACCGCATGCACATTGCAATGTCCTGGACTTCTGAGGTTCAACACCACAGACTGGGTTGCCAGGTTCACTCTCAAAATGAGGTCCATTCATGATTAAGTCTACACCACTCTCGGGTACTGCAGTTAATAGACAGGTATCTACAGTCGTGTTGATTTCACATCCTGTTTTTGAATCTCCATCACTTAACATATTTCCAGAATCACTTAGATTTGTTTCCGAGTTACTTTTGTTTGTTTCATCAGGCTCTGCATCCAGATTCTTAATACCAATCTGTGACAAATCTTTATTTGCATCATTGAGACTGTTTCCAGTACAAGACTCAACAGGTTCATTTTGTGTTGGATCAGATATTGTTGGATTCTGGTGGGATCTTTTGTGGTTCAATATCAATGCAAGGACCTCTACTGTCTTACCAAGCCCCATTTCATCTGCTAGTATTCCACCTGGGAATGGCTCTGGTTGTAGAAACTTCACCTGCGTAAAACTATCATAAAAAAACACAAAAACACTTTCAATACTTCATGTCTTCAAGTTTGTGTTAAGATATCATATTTTTCAAAAGTACATAATAGAGCATAACATATATGAATAGCTTATGGAGAGTAATCAAAAGAAAAATCTCTACAGCTATAGTTGGAAAATCTACAAATGGAAAAAAAATCTGATAACTCACATCCCACTGACAGCATTGTAATAGAGTGGAGTGCCTTGGGAATTCAATTTTTTCCATAAGCAATGTAGTCCTGGAAAAAGGATAAATAACATATAAAATATCTTGACTTATGAAATGATCATATTAAATCATAAATTAAAATCCATGCAAGATGATTTGGAATAGAACAACGTGAGGAATCAACCAAATGAAATTATCACAATATGAATGAATATCATTGATTTCATATTTATAACCAAGCAATATATTTCTTTTGTTTAATTAAACACAAAATATTTACAGATTATTGCGTACATGTATCATCCAGAACAAAATTTGCTTAAAGTATTAACAAACAGAATCTTCAAATATTGACCTACTATTTTGTTTGGTATTTTCATTTATTAGTTTCTCTTTTCCAATCATCCATTGAATCGCTTCTTTCTGGTATTCTCTCAGCCTGGGAACAAGGTTCTTGTGTTGAAGACCCTCCATTAATGGTAGTCTTTGTTTTTCTTCCTCCTTGTGGAATTGCCGTACAAAACTAAAAACCTGGTCAAAGTCCTGTCTCTGTCGTTTTACAAATCCTATATCTGCAAGATAATAATAACAATAATAATAATAATGTTATCATCAATTCCCAAAAAAATGAAAATTTACTCTATTTAATACATTCTTATTCTCCCACATTGTAAGCTTTAAGATGATGGGTTATTTACTGGAATTGACTTACTATTTCCAAAGTTATGAGTGAAAGTATTATGGCTTTTCTGTACTAAAGTATACAATACTGCAATATTCTTATGCTAATTACTCAGTTTAATAATTAGCGAGAGTACAGTATGCTGGCTTTAGAATGGCAAGACTCATATAGTACCTGTCACAAGAGGGCGGATTTTTACTCTATTATAATACTGTTGTCATGAAAACACAGATGCTGTGTTGACAGGAAATGATATTGTGAACCTTAGGGGTGTACTGATCTCTGTGTGGGGGGGGTTTAGGTTTGATGGGTAACGTAGATAATTTGTATGACAATTAATTATTAATTTGCGTATGAACGTATGATACGGATTGCCGGGAAATCTGAAATTCAGGGAGGGGCAGATCCGTGAAGAGTCTCAATGAGAGTGGGTCTTGAGTGCGATAGCACAAGGAAAGTATATAATCCATATAGTATTCGAGCGTTAGCTCCAGGTTTTAGAAACAGGGGATATATTTAATTGGCGATAGCCCTATGAACAGCGATAGCTGGAAATTAGACGGATACAGTAGTGGGCTATTAAAGAAAGCCGAGTTTATGTATTTTTGAGGAGTCAGTACAGATTGGCTCCTCTGGTAATTTTAATTTGAATTTCTGAAACCGAATGGAAATATTGTCTGCCTGATTGGGGAAAGGACACAGTACTTCGGTGGCTTCATACAAAGAACAGACCTGTTGTAGTTAAGCATTGGATCGTGTGGGTTGATGTATGTTGTTTGGGGAGTTGGTCCTGATTCATAATTGTTTGCATTAATACGTACGTTTGCCTTGTGACTTGATCATTTAGACGTGATCCGTTTAAAGGGGGAATAACACGGGGAACCTGGCTTGTGACAGTACCTATATAGTTCTAAATACCAGAGTTTTGATGTACTTAACATTAAACAAAATGACCATTAGATATAAATACATGCCTGGTAAATGAATAATCATTTATCATCAATCAATCTGGTTTTTCACCCTTTTCCATGTGAAGCCTTTGCATAAATCACAATGAAAACATGAAATATTATTTGTTTTTTCAGAAATTTCCTTGCCTCTCTTATTTTTTTTATTTTAAACTATTGAATATTGTTGATAAATACAAAACCACACAAATAATTAAATAAAAACGATTTAAAAAAAAGTGTGCAGAAATGGAAATATGATCAAAATGTTATATAATTATTGACAATTTATTTTACCTTCAATAGGAATGCCCTGTAGCCATTCCATCACGGACTGCACACTTTTCTGATATCGAAAACCTTTGTTCGACTCGGCACCAAACTTTGGAGTTTTCAAGGCACAATCAGTAATCCAAACCGTAAGGTCTAAAGATGATTTCTCAGCGCAGTAAACGCCCTTTGTCACATTGAAGTGCGTTCCCTTTGAAATGCGACAAAGAACCTCCAAGTCGTCTAAATACGCATCTTTGCATTCTGTTTCAAATCGAGCATCAAAGCACACATACGGGCCATTGCAGTTGACATTTTCATCGTTAGACTGGTTATCAAAGATAATGTGATATTCACGTTTTCTATTGAATGTCACAGCAAATAAAGAAAATATATTGTGAGATGGAAGAGTTCTTGGTAACTCAACTGATGAACCATCTAGAGGGCAGCATACAGATAAGTGTGAACTTAGTTGAAGTGTGAATGTTCCTAATTCGAATATGCTTCTTGATGGAGACTTATCATGTATCGTTATACTGTAATCGGCGGCATCCCATAATGCTTTGTACTGGCGGTAGCTTAAATCATGCGGATGGAGTGTTTCTTCTTGGTGGCTTTGAGTGCTTTGAACATTAGCTTGTGATATATTAGCAACTGAGAATGGATCGTTAAAGTGGCTGGCATCTTTCTCCACATGTGAGTTGCTACCGCTAGGCCTAGGTGCCGGTCGATCCTCACTTGCGAGCATGTTCCACGAGAGACATTTGCGTTTCTCATCACACATCCACTTTGGAGTCGACTTGCGCTTCCCAGGCATCTTAATGTTAGCTTTCAATAAATATTCCAATAAAAACAATTAAAATTATTTTTTGAGTTTCATTAAACAATTTTTGTTGGTTGCTGTGTTCCTCCTAGTGGGTCTATATAAACTAGTACAAGCCATCGACACACAAAACAGATATACAGTATATAAATCTAGACTGTATGTCTGTAAAATAGGACTTTTCCTCATTGCCATAATGAGAAGTGATGCTAAAATAAAACACTAAAAAAAAAAAAAAAAAAAAAAAACACAAAAAAAAAAAAAAAAAAAAAAAACACACACACAAAAAAACAGGAAAAACACAAATGAAATCATACTAAGGAAAATTGGAGACTCGAACTATGACTGCTAATATTATTTAAAATGTGTAGAATGATGTTATGTTCAAAAAACATGGAAAGTGACCAAAGTGCAGGTCAGAAAAACCCAGTGCAAAAACATAGGAAAATGGGATATAAGAATAAAAATAAATGAAAACAAAGACAACAGCTATTTCTGTTAAAGCAAAAATAGCCCCCAAAAATTAGTAAAAAGAAAAAAAAAACAAAAACCATGGAAACTAACTGGACATTTGCACGACTCAAACTATAACTGCGATGGTAACAGCGAGGGTGATGAAATCGAGACTCCTAAACATTACACGCTACAGTATATGTATCCTGCATAAGTCAGTGCTTTTTCAGTTCATAGTAATTCAGTGCTTGAGAGTGAAAATTGTGCATGCATTTCAAGGTAATTTTACATTTAACCAACTGGTTTAAACACGTTAGAAAATGGAAATTGCGTTTATATAGTTAGTTGGCTGGTTTAATAATATTCTTTAAATGGTCATAAAATCCACACCCTACTGTACTGTACTTCGGATCATCACAAAATTTAAAAATTTCATGACAAACTATTCTGGAAAGTTCCATTTAGATCCCTCGATACGTTTTTCAAAATATTTAGGTCTGGGAAATTAGCAATTTAAATGTCCCTCAAATTCACACCTGAATCTGGATCGTCACTAACATTTATTAATTTCTTTGTTGGACCATGGCAAATTATTACCGGTATGCAAAGTTTAACGTAGATCCATTGATAGGTTTATTGAGATATTTAGGTCTGAGACCTTAGCACTTTAAATGACCCTCAAATTCACACCCTACTCCGGATCATCACCAAAATTTAATAATTTCTTTGTTGGACCATGTCAAACTATTACGCAGTTTATATAGATCCATTTAGGTTTATTGAGATAATTAGGTTTGGGATGTTAGAATTTTAATGACCCTCAAATTTGCCCTAAAATAGATCTCATCACCAAAACACAATAATACCTTCCTTGTAACTTGGTTAAGCTTTCCCGAAGGTTTCATTCAGATAAATTGATCCGTTTTTAAAATATCTGGTGTTTGCCTTTAAATTCCTTTAATTGGTCCTCACATCGACACCTCATTCTTGATTGTAACTAAATTTTATGTGGCACATCTTTGGTATATTGTCTATGTTTGGACAAATTTTGGAAAAGATCCATGCATGGAATGAGTCTAAAGTGCTAGTCAAGAGACTCATGTGCAAAAAAAAATTGGTAAAACGTTTGGAAGGAATTAACAAGTTAATTAGTAAATACTTATTAAAAAGCCAAGAAACTGAAAAAGCCTAGCAGTCAAACTAACTAAACTAACTAGCACTAGCAGCAGACAGACACTGGAACAGAGTTAGGCCTAGGTCTTCAAAACAGTAGCTAGGCTACCACATGAACCTCCTAGGCCTACATTAGTGGTACTACTAACCTACTGCTGGGTGCCTAGGCCTAGTGTTTCTTAGGCCTAAGCCAGGACTGGCACTTCTCTAACATTTTCCTACTTATTGTGGTGTTTGTTGTTCTACCTAGTTACCACATGATGACCTAATCTAAGGTACACGTACGGATCCGGCCTACAGTTCCCTGTACTAGCTTAAGAGGTCCAAAAGTCAAATATAAACATTGTTTACAAAAGCTTACCTTTAAATTGTTAGCGCTGCTGTCATTTCCTCGCGGATTTGTGGTTCATTTCGCGCGAAACATGGTGGCGCTATTTCAAAACATGGATTTTGATTTCATCATCATCATCAATCATGAAATAAATTACCTTTGACCTCATTTTACTAACAAACAAACAACGTGGAACTTTGCGGGAAAAAAAAAGGAATGAATACAGAGTACACAATTTTCGTTATTTATTTTGTTAAATAAAATTTTCTTCTACAGATGGTGAGTATGCAAATTCTATGGATGCATCGTTTCGTTAGGTCATTGGCATTGCTGTGTAGGCTTATGTAGGTTTAACGTTTTAACAATTGTAGATTTTTATATTATTGAGTAATAATGACTAGCTTGGGCCCCTCCTCCTACTTTTTTGGCTAGCCTACTTCTGTACTGTAGACTACTAGCCTGCCTAGGCCTAGCCTTGAGGCCTACAGAAGGAGGGTACTTTGAGTACTACCCACCTAGCTAGTCTACTAAGTCATGTATACCTAACTGGCTAGGCCTAGTAGTAGAAGTAGTAACAACTCCAGGCAGGCCTAGGCCTACCTAGCTCAGGAGGAGGCGGCCTAGGTAGGTACCACATGATAAATACAAAGTTGAATATAAAAAAAAAAAAATAGCACAAAAAACTACTTATTCTCACTATCATAAAAAAACTTTATTTGAGCCACTGGTTACGGTTTTATAAACATTTGAAGTTTATGAGCATGTGAATAGCAAGTTGCATGTTAACAATAATATTTCTGTCACTTTTTGCCATATATTTCTGTTAGTTCTTGTAAATGCTAAAAAATAGTGTACATTTGATTGTAAATTTTTACTGCAAATTACATTGGTCATGTAGCCTTAATATATAACGACCAGAAAAATTTATAGATTTTTCAGATGACCTTTGACCCACAATTCTGAAAATAGAATTAAAACTATCCCTCACCCCCCACCCCCCGACTATTGACGAATTTCATTGGCCGTTACGCATGACGTCATCCTCTTGCAACAAAAACTAGCATCGTCTCACAATTCTCTCGAAATCAACCTATGGTTAATATCCACATCCAATCCTTATAAATATTAACTATTTTTTTAGATAATCATTAGCTAAAAGTATATTTTAATACTTTAAGTATCATTTAGTTAACTTTTTGAACTCATATTTATTTTATTTACATGAAAAATATTGCTGTTTATATGCAGCACTTTCGTTAAGATCGTTATATGGTTTACCTCGTGTACACAATGGCCGATCAACAGCTGATCGTCAGTTTTGCGGTGTCAAAAAAAAATATTGCTACGCCTCGTATTATATTCATATTTGGCAAATAAACTCTTAGATATATAAACTAATCGTCGTTATTAAAAAATTTAACTTCATTACTCGCAATTCTCTGGAAAGAATGACGAATTTTAATGAAATTTTCAAAAGTTGATAACTTCGATAAAAGTTGACCGATTTCGGAAAAAATCAAAATGGTGTACTACTTCGACACCCGAGTGACCTGATTGACCTGATGAAAGCGTCTCAACCAATCAAAAAGCATTTTATATGAATATTTTCTTAAGGCCTTTGTTGACAAAAATACTTTTGGCTGAACTTGGCTAATGACACAAATAGCCCAGGCCATGGCCTAGTCTTTGCCTAAGTGAGGCTGAATGAAACTGTTGTGTAACTTCTGCTCGGTACACAAGCTTTATAATTTTAAAATTTATTTTTACAACGTGGATGTTACTGGTAGTGGTCGTAATCCTATCTAAATAAGATTTAATTCACACAAATTGAGGTGTTAATTGGTCACTCATGGTAGTGGAGCTGGGGGGGATCAAGTCCAATTCATGGAGCCTGGGTAATTAGCTCATGCCCAATCCAATATCTAGGCATAAACCAATTAAATACAACCAAAAAGAATAACACAAAAAAACTACCGATTCTCAGTAACAAAAAACTTATGAAAAAATCAAGCAACTGGTTGCGGTTATTTATTCTAAACATTTGAAGTATCTGAGCGAATGTATTATCATTAGCTGAAAGCATATTTGAACTTTATAAACTCTTCGATACATAAACTAACTCCAGATGGTAGCAAATTGAACATTAATAATCGCAATTCTCTTAAAAATACAATTTATTTTATTGTAATTTGTAGAGAAGCTGAAAATATTGAAATATATCAGAAATTTTTAAAATGGTAAACAACTTCTACCTCTTGAGTGACCTGACTGACCTTAAAAAAGTCTCAGCCAATCAAAAGGCATTTTTAATGAACTTTGTACAATGTAAACATGCTTGGTTTTGGTTCATTGACACAAGTAATAGTGAGTGACGTCAGACATCATAACATGCCTATCTTATCTAATATTATATATCGTGTCCCTTGCCATGCCAGTCAAATAGAGGCACCCCCTTGTGCAAACAGGCTTGTTAGGTCCAATGCAATGGAAGCAAGGTATGGTCCAGTCCAATTTCGCATAAACTTTCACATCTTGCATCCTGGTTAAGGTGTAAAGCCTATCAAACTGGGCTGACAACAGGTCCTTCAGTTGGATTCCCACCTCACCTTGAAGTAAAATTCTCAAAAATTATGAAAATGATTTCCTGTGATATAGGATAGGTTTCTAGGTCACAGTAAATTGTGACATCACCCCACCATGTACACTGACTGTACCCCTTTTTGCAACACTCCTGGTCACCCAGGGTACCTGTGGGTTGGGGGAAACTTGAGCATGTGGTGCAGACCAGGGAAATTTGGCTTAAATACAAGACACTTATAAGTCTCAAACCACATGTTTCTTCCTGTTGTGACCAAAAATGTGTTTGCTGCCCTCTTTTGTGGACAGGTATCATTTTTAATTTTTGATATCCTGACTTTGTTGGGAAAACATTTAATTTAATTTTAAATATACTGTCTGTCATGAGCTAAAATTAAAAAATTCAATTCCATAATTTAAATTGCTTTATTTTTACAGTATATTTACATGAATTAGACAAGACTTTTTCATACCTTGTTTCAAACTTCAGAGGAGTGGGGAAATAAATAAAAAATACAATTTTGTTTTCTTATTTAGCAGATAGTTTTGCCAAAAAAATCCAGACAGGGAAAATAATGAAAAGGAAAAATTTAGCTCAATAATCATATAGTATCTTAACTTAAAGTGAATAAATCATTTCAAAAAATGAATTTATTTGAATTGAATAAGATACTAATTGACCATGTCTTTAAGGGAAACTAACATAAGTAGACAAATAACGATAATGAAGCCAAATCTTAATATTTCGATAATCTAGATTAGAAATGAGCTATTTTTTATACAGTTAGATTGAGTATGCAATCTTTCCTATACAGCAGGCTGTCTCCGACATTTTTGAAAGAGAGGCGAGTACACAAAGCATTGTTGACTACATTTTACACGTTTCTTTAAATGTAACTATGCAAGGGTCATTAAGAACTTGCCAATTATCTAAAGTTTTAGGAAGAATGTTGTTATACTGTTAAATAGCCTAATTTGCATTCCTGTAATCTTGAAGAACATGTGTTGTATAATAATATATAAATGGTAAGTGTTGATTTGTAGAAATATGTATTTAAATTTTTGAGTTTAATTATCATATCATTTTATTATTGTTTCTTTAGTTACTTATATGTTGTCTGGTGAAGTACGAGTGAAAAAGGTGATTTTTTTTCTCATTTAAAATGATAATAAATTTAATAAACTTAAAACATTTTAATTTCCTTTTCACTGGTTTACTGACATTTCTCTACAGAAATTCTAAATTGTTTACCAGGCAATTTAATTGTCTGCAAAAAATTGGAATAGGTTAGAGCTGATATAATGCGCCACAATAATCATCACAAAAAAAAATAGTAAAAGAATACCGGTAGGCTAAATACCCACTGGTTAAAAATTGTTTGATCACTTTATTTCACTTGTATCTATTAAAATTTTTGTTTTGTTCATTCCAGTTTAATGTTATTCTTGTGTGTTTAATCGACTCTGTTACCAGATGTTTGGGTTTCCCACAATATAACGGGAAGCGTTTTATGATCCATATGTTACAGAAAATTATTCTTTGGATCCTATTATCATTGCGCTGTGAATGGTGGGTAATCCCCATCTATCAATCAGAAATATAGATAGTCCAACGAAAAACTGCTGACATTGGCAATACGAACCATATGGTTGAATATTGACATGCCAAACGCTAGACCTTAATGTATGTCAACAACTGATATTGTATTGAGTTAGCGACTGTCAGAATTCTAAAAAGAATTTATATTAAATTTTGATCAAATAATTAGGGTAAATTTAATGATGCAGTTTTTTGAAGAATTAATTTCAGATGATACTCATCTGTAATAATTTTTTATGTATTATTATGATATCTTATTGCACTATATAAATGCAATATTATTACTATGGAATTACATATTTATTTTTGCCCTACATTCATTAATAAATATGGGACTATCTTTACCTACCATACCTTATAGACCACTCGTAGAGCAGTCTTATGCCTTTGAGAACAAAACATCTGCTATCAAAGGCTTCATTTCTTATGATATTTGTCTGTAATCAGTAGTACGTAATAATAATAATAATAATAATAAAAATATTAATAATAATAATAATAATAATAGAAATAATTAATAATAACCATAATAATAATAATTCACTCTACAAAACAGCTGGAGCCACAGAATGTATACCCATAATTCATGTTAATTGTTTGCTTTTTCTTTCCATGGCCTTGGCTATTTAGTTATTACTATTACACTAGTATGTGCAGAATTTGTCCAGTGACCTTTGATGAACATTTTTATTTAAAAAAACTGACTACTTAAACGTCAATTGAAAATCACAGTACATGGTACAATCAGGTAGGAGTAAGAATGAAGGACCTATTTAATCTGCTTTAATTTCTAACATCTGGGCTAAAATCTACATTTCTGTATTAAAGTTACACCTAGTGCGAAATCGGCAGACCAGCTTACGTTTATCGTGTGGCATTAGCACGAACTCTCGTACTTGGAAGGTGAACGAAAGGTGGAACACATGGTCAGATTAGTGATGTTTCTCAGGTGACGCTACAGGATTTTACTCCACGGAAATCGTGTGTTATGTTGTGAACAAATACAGTGGCGTGATAGCGATCGTACAACAGTTTATCTTTTCCCTTCAAATTAAACACAATTTTTGTTTAATTTCGATAATATTCTGTCAACTTTAATTGGCTGGTTGTGTTAACTAGATGTTGTTTCTGGGGTATTATTTGACTGACAACAGCGGGATATTTCGGCCTCGATATAGACAATATGCTTATATATATGTGCGAGCAGGTATGAATATCACCTATACAGTGTAGTTTTCTTAATCTTAGATCATTCAACCTTCAGGTACTGTACAGTACAACACATTTTTTATGAAGTTTAACACGTGGACTGCCAGACCTTTTTTAGGTTTTGTTCCATGTGCCAAAATAAGTATATAAGTACAAACATACTTTCTTGAAATGTTCACATATCATCAAGATGGTGTGTCTAATAAATTGGCAGAAAAATATTAGAAGAGGAGTAAACTCGTCGCTGGCAATGGGACAGTAATTTCTATTGCCTCTGCCAAGTGTGAGTTTTTTCGTCTACTTATTGCATGGGTTGGTATATGTTCAGAGGATGCTCCCACTCATACTATCTTTTGTACTGCCGGCAACATAACACAACAAGCATACATACGTATTTGATGTACTGTATCTTCCCCAAGTTATCAACCGCTAATACCCTATTCAGACTACACTCTGTTGCGATCGGTTGCGATGTAATCGGTGGTAATCCAAAACTGATTACTCCCGATCGCAATCAACGAACGCATTCAGACCAACACAAACAAACTTTACATTCTAGGGCCTAGGCCTCCGGTGGCTAGGCCTATGTTGACTGACCTCAGCCAAACAGTGCCTGTGGAATTCGTTGTGATTCGTTGCGATCAAATTCCATGGTAATCGGGAGTAATAAAGATTGTAGCACCCAATCGCAACGGGTAACAATTGCGATATCGATTACATATCGACTATTATTGGTGAGCTTTCATACACGATTTTACTTTGTGATTGGGTGTCGCAATTGCTACAACCGATCGCAATGCGATGCTAGTCTGAATGGGGTATAAGTCTATGGTTCTACAATGTATAATAATGACTAATAAATGCTAGAATGTTACCCTGGTTTTGACAAATATAGTCCTCACTAGTGCCATCAGCAACATCCTGTGGGAGGAGCATACTCGTCGCTGGCAGCGAACGTGTTAACATTACTATTAAATACATATTGTGAGTAAACATTTTTGTGAAACTCTCTTATGAGTTTAGCATATCTTATAGCCTGTTGTAATGCTAACAAGTACAAGCAAAAAGCATAGATATTTGATTTTTCAGTGTATCACATCTGTCAAATATACAAACCACTGATCATTGATGCTCATCTATATCTTTGATAATTTCATTGAAAATTGTATCTATCTTAGCCAAAACTTCTATTATACCTTGTATTGTAAATCTGCCACCTGATAATTGTGATTTCAATATATAATAAATAAAACTTTATGTTTGGCCGACCCGCTGTTGTGAGAAATAAATTATTTGCTAAGCAAGTTATAAAAAGTCTTGTCTTACTTATGTTCAGACCTGAATATTAATAGCAATACACTACGCTTGATCCATATCTATTACTGCATTACAGACAGATTCAATAGACACAATCAGCAACCAAAGTCGCGTGACCTTTATAAACAGACTCGGTGAGCAGAGCTCGGAAAATACATAGCTTCTTTAGGAATGTTGCTTTTCTAAGCATACTTTCCAACCCATACAACTAAAACTTCAAGAGATGGGAGTTTGAATGGGTGAAGGATATCCCTTAACTTCAATATTTGTTAGTTTTGTCTCATCCATTGCATTCTGACATTTTAAGTTATGTTCTAAGGTGTCTGTAATAGTTGCTTACAGCAGCCTAGTCTGTATAGATTATTATGGGTTTTTTCCCCAGAAACCTTTGCGTTGAAAAGTCAACTTACAAAAAAGATTCGGCACAGAATTACAAAATTTTGCTTACCCAAAGAGCAACTAATATCAATTTTTAAAAATCATTGAAAACATCTAGTTTTTTACTTATTTAGGGGTTAGTGGAGAAGGGGTAGGGGGAAGGAGTTTGGAGGTTAATTTTATGATTTTTGTACTAAAAATCAGTAAAACTTCTCAATTTCTGGAGCGACATTAATACTATTTGTATAAATAGTGCACATTCTAATAGCCACTGTTTTAATGTTATTATTTACGGCAGTGTATCTATATGTACCATATTATAATGTTAAGCTTTGGTTTGCATTTTTTGTAATATTTTCTGTCATCCTTATACTTATTTCAGGGCATGCGATATGGACAAAATTTTCCAGATTCTTCCTCTTGTCAAAGCAGGCTTACCCCTTATCTATCAACACAGGTGAGTGGTTTAAGACCTATTTTGAATTGGTTGTTTGCAGATGTAGTTGCAGATAACGTCAAGTTACAGTATGTCAAATCTGAATGTTTACCCAAACACCTATTCAAATATGATATTTAATGTTAGCTATACTGCCATTTGACAGCTGTTGTAATTCACGCAACAGCCAAAAACCTCTTTTGAATACCAATTTGATTGATTCATCAGAAGTCGGATCTTACTATAGCACAGTTCATTTTTGCATTGACAATAGAATTCAAATGATCTTGTGACAAGTTATCGATTGTTTTTAAGAGGATTTCACTATGATCACAACATATCCGGAACCAATTTGATCCTCAATGATTTTTTTAAATTCATATTTTCTCTGAATTTTTAAAAATTTATTATATATTTTTAAATATGTATTTAATTGTGTTTTGGTGAAACCACACCCTTGTATGTTGCTTGCTATCATTAGTCTTAGACACATGCGCGTGATTGACTATAGATCTAATAACTGAACAAAAGCTTCTTTAAATTCAAAACTAGAATCATATGAAAGTTTTGCATAGTGGAATGCAAATGAATTCAGTAACAAAAATAATTTTAGCAAGTGAAAAAAAAGAGCAGATTAGCTCAGTTGGCTAAACTAGTGGTAGCCACTGTGTGCGCTGAACCGTGGAAATACTTTCAGATCTTTCTGATCCAATTTTATTGCTGCCTTCGATGTGCTATGACCTGTAGCAGTGCACCGTCTTTCAGATGAGATGTTTAAACTGTTAGTCCTGTGCTTAATGTGGCCCATGTGTATGTTAAAGTATGTAGTACACCTTTCGTGTGCAGGTATTAAGAGAGTAGCTTAGCTTAGTAGGCCAAAATGGTCGTAGCCACTGTGTGTGTGTGCGCTGAACCGTGGAGATTTTTTTCAATTCGACGGTCACTGGTTCAATTCCATTCGTTGCTCTCCTAGTGGCTTAGCTCGAGAACTAAAATAAGTTACGATACCGCTCCTATTTCGGATGACACATTTAACCCATTGGTCCCATGTGTAATACAGTATGGCCTATGTGCACATTAAAGAACGCGGTACACTCTTCAGAAAACAGTAGGACAAGTCTCCGTGTCTTGCTTTGTGCCAGTTCATGCGACCGCAATAGGGATGTTGTTCGTCTTCGCATTTTCTTTCTCTCTTCCTGAATTTATTTTTTCTTACATTACAATTAAATAAAGCAATCTTCCATCTGTTGTCTGTCTCTAAGACTAATATGTCCTACCCATGTCTATATATGTCATATAAACATTTTTTTCCATTTAGCCGACATATGCAACTTCATTCCGTCTTTCATATTAAGTTTGACAGCTGGAAATATTATAGAATATACAGGTCTTGCTGCATAGAAAGTGCAATAACTCCAATAAATCAGGATGCAAAAAATATCTATAATGCAATGTACTTTATTAATCTCTCTATAACAAAAAATCTATATTTTGCATACAAAATAATAATAATAATAATTTTTACGTACATGAATATTCGTGTACATATAACATAATTGGATTTCAATTTTCCTACATAACTGCAAGACATTCAGAGTTTTCCCTCCAAAGTTCAATATACTCTAATAAATATATCAAACTGTTTACAAAAGAAATCCTAGTCTCGTAGGATTTCAACCCTGGATACTGGAATTGAAAAGCAGCCATTAAACCATCAAATTTAATACATTATAAATAGGTAAAATGAAAGTTGTTGGCTTTCAAAGAAACAGACAAAACAATTTATTTCTCAATGTTTTACAGGTTTTTTTTTACTATATTAGTCCATAATTGGCTGCTATTCAAACATAAGATCTATGAAGAAAGTATGTAAAAATAATATTATTCTTCTATTAGCATCTTGGCTGGACTGCCACAAGAAATAGGGTGTCTTTAGGTAGGCCATGCCAACTACAAGTTATATTGAAGCATGCGAAGGAATAATAAAGACGAAAAACATTTTATTTAGTTTTGGCCTGCCAGACAAGTGTTTTTGTTTGCATTCACTTGGATGCCAGCTCATATTCAATTACACATACTTGGCAGTTTTATAAATTTGTCAGGAATATATTTCCTCGTTCCAATTTAAGAACTTACTTAAAGATATATCATAAGAAATTCTAATATTTTATTATCCACATTTATTTCCTTAACATAGATGGTATATTTATAACTTTATATTACATCTCAACTTTCAGTACATACATATATTTATTATGTTTTTATGAAAGGGCTCCAATTCGACAGCGATTTACTGCACTTTCAGGTTTTTCGTGTGTCATGTTTGAATCATTGATTCCTTATTGTTATAACTTCTGAAAGCATAAATGTATTCAGACAAACATGAATGTATTCAGAAAATTAATTCTAATTGGATCTCCTACCTCAAGAAAAAGTACGTTTATTCAAGGTGATGCTCCTTAAACAACATTTCCGTGTCCCATGAACACTTGTCTGCAATTTAGCTACTGAAGCCTATGCATACAGGTCTACCGGTATTGGTCAGATCTAAATGAAATCCCCACCTACTGTAATAATAACCCATCCTATTTGATCAATCAATTTCAATTCATGGACACACTCCATCAAAAATAATACTAGAAGCCAATCTATTAATACCTTACCGTAATAATTCCAACTTGACATGGAACAATTTTCAAGGAAAGAGAACATTTTGATACTGAGGATCAATGCTGTGGAGTGACCTCCCAGCAAATAGGCACTTTTCAATTTTCACGTCAACATAGTCGACGTCTTGAGATGATGTCATTTTCAAGCACTGTGCATGTGCGATCGTCAACCCCTCACTCACCACCAGATTTGAGAACGCATTCACCCCGGTTTTCACCGTCGACCCAAATCTACTCGCCCTGTTGACTTATGACGTCATTTTTTCAAAATGGGCGATAACGTACCCGCTGAAAGGATCTTACTAGGCATAAGGAGAGGCCTAATTCTATGCAATTTTCAAGAAATTTCATCTCTGACATCGAACAAGTTTACAGTTTACAGGTCGATTAGCATTGTAGGCTACAAAAGCACAAACTTTTCATCGTCAAGCACATTGCTGAAATATCTGAAGAGGATCGCTCCTCGGACTGAAGATTCACCATGATGGTAAGGCATGATCCTTGCTCAAAAAGTCCTCATGTTGACTCCTCGTCGACTGAAATCGAAACTGATTTCAGCGGTGTATCACCATGAGCAGTGAATATGTTGACGGTTGCCTGCAGTCGACGTGAACCTGCTCGTCGTTCACTCAATCGAAAAGTCCCTACTATTCGCAGAGATTACCAATCTTTTGATCAAGTTGATTTTCAAAACCCCTTATAATTTATTTTCTTTGTGCCTTGATTCTTTGTTTACTTAATCTTCTTTTTGTTTATATTTTTGTTAATTTACATTTTGTTACTGTACCAAATCTGGACCTCTTGCGAGACCAGTACCTTGTATTGAAAGAGGTTTCCAGAATGAAGGAAGATTTGTATTGTATTGTAGATATTCATGAATATGATATTTATTGTGATTAATGCTGCTTGGAGATTTTGTTTGTATTTCTTAACCCTCTAGATACCGTCTTTGACTGTAGTCGAAATTGACCTCAAACCGAGAATTCCCATTTTCGACTGCAGTAGAAATTTAGTGATTAATGCTGCTTGGGAGATTTTTTTTGTATTTCTTAACTGATGCATGGCATAACATTCCACAATGGACTAAAATTGTACCCCTCCCTATTTTGTTTGACAAATCCCTTCATAGCCAATTGATCTGATCCATGTAAAGTACTGATCATAGGTTTCTGTGTTACCTCTAGCATGAATGACACAATTTCTACATATTGCTAACAAATATACTGAAAATACTTTATTAATCCTTTAATATTTTGCAAAGAATTTTGTGAAGCTGCCCTGCCATGCACTTGACCTGAAATCACTCAAGCCTACAGCATTGTACAGCACCCAATCTTTCCCTCCTATCAGGTACTAAACAGTTGATTTAATTTAATTTAATTTGATGAGAAATTTTGTTTCAACATTTAATATGGCTGGCAGTCGTAAATAAGTATTATGGGTATTTTTTCATGCTTTATAATATTACTTTAAGGATATTTAGGGAACTGCCATCAGTACAGGACTGGTTGAGGGTGATTCAGAAATTTATACTATAGGAGAAAAGTTACATTTGGAATTTCATCATCCATCTACTTTAAACCACATAAAAATCAACATAATAAAACTACAGGGAAGGTCCCTTCTTTGAATTGTGGTTTAGTATATTTGACAAAAATTGAGTGGAATTCAGAAATTTATAAGAGAAAAATTACTTTACCAAATGTCATCATCATCTACCGCAAACCACATGAAAATACACTTAAGATAAAATGGGAAATTCCCTTCTTTCAACCATAGCCAACTTACAGTATACTTGACTAAAGTTGAGTGTTATGTCATGTTGGGTAATAAATTTCCTTCCTCCCTTTTATTATAGTGGTGATGATTTCTGTGCTAACATTTTCCTGCATGAGTTTATTTACTAACCATTGTTTTTGTGTCCTCGATTAGGCGAAACTTTGTTTATACCTTGTTCAGCGAACCCACTGCCTGCCAGTAATAATGATTTTGAATAAAAATAAAATTTTATTATTAGCCAATTAGTGAACCCACTGCCACGAAAAAATGAAAATTTCAGAAAAAAATAAAACATTTTATTTATTTTTATTATGCCCGCTGCTTTCTTGAAATCTTAAAAAATAATAAATGTATATTCTTCCCAATAATATATAAATTTAAAGCATGCATTTAATCATCTCATTACTACACTGTTTACATTCAACAATAACTTTATTTTTATTTTCACCTCCGTCTGGTTGTTTTTGGCAAAACTATTTACTATATAGGAAACAATTTTTTTTCTGCCCTTCTCTGACAAAATCAGTTCTCGAAGCAAGGTATAAAAGAAGTCTTGCCTTACCCTTGTATCTA